TGGTGTGGTGTGGTGTGGTGTGGTGTGGTGTGGTGTGGTGTGGTGTGGTGTGGTGTGGTGTGGTGTGGTGTTGTGTGGTGTTGTGTGGTGTGGTGTGGTGTTGTGTGGTGTTGTGTGGTGTTGTGTGGTGTTGTGTTGTGTTGTGTTGTGTTGTGTTGTGTTGTGTTGTGTTGTGTTGTGTTGTGTTGTGTTGTGTTGTGTTGTGTTGTGTGTGTGTGTGTGTGTGTGTGTGTGTGTGTGTGTGTGTGTGTGTGTGTGTGTGTGTGTGTGTGTGTGTGTTTGTGTGTGTGTGTGTGTGTGTGTGTGTGTGTGTGTGTGTGTGTGTGTGTGTGTGTGTGTGTGTGTGTGTGTGTGTGTGTGTGTGTGTGTGTGTGTGTGTGTGTGTGTGTGTCGTGTGTGTGTGTGTGTGTGTGTGTGTGTGTGTGTGTGTGTGTGTGTGTGTGTGTGTGTGTGTGTGTGTGTGTGGTGTGTGTGTGTGTGGTGTTTCCGTCTTCTTCTCTTTTTTTAGTTGGTACCCTTGTTTGAGTGGTTTTAGGCAGCAACCGAAGCGGAACCACTGAGACTTGGGGAAGCCTCGCATTGGGCGGTTCAGCATTGAACCAAGCAAGCCTTTGCAGTTCATCGTTCTCGCCAAGGACCAAGCTTTCTGGCGATAAAGAACACCTCAAGCTTCCAGACTTGTCAGCAAGTTCAGAAGTCCTGCAAGCTGCCAACATCACATCTACCAGCTGACCAAAGTTCAGAGGTAAATGATGGCCGTCCCCTGGAAAACCTGCACGCAGCGCTTTGATTGTTGGGCCATCGCGCAAGCACGAGCTTGGCTGCGGTTGACTCCTCTGCAAAAAGTGTTTAACCTTTTGCGGGTCCAACGGAGAATCCACTGTTTCAACCAAAAAGTTCGTCCAAAGTTCCAACCAAACAATGTTCACCCGATACTAATCAACCCCACTTTATGAAGGTGGGTTCCCCTCCAAAAGTGGTCTGATTCCCCACTAAACCCAGGGAAAAGCAACCCCCCATGAATAAACTGGACTCAAGGCGAGCGAGCGTCCACCAACTCGTTGTCGCTGAGGTCGAACATCGGGCGGATGGAAAACTTGTCCACCTGTCGTTAAAAACGATGAGGGCACAGGTGGTGATGGGTGGTGGTGGCAACATTGGTCAAAACAAGCCACACCTCTTCCTTAACAATCTAAAGGTTGGAAAACCAAAGGTGCTTACATAATATGGTTGTGGGTCAAATATAGGTACCCAAAATGGAACCCTGGTCAATGAAACAAAGACTCAAACCTGCGGTCGCCTGGTGGTTTAATTTTGACCCATACCCATATCTGGGATGGCTTGAATCTCCCTTGGACATCTTTGTGAAGTCAATGGTTGAACCTCAGCAATTCGCCTCCTCCAGGTCCGTCTCCTTGCGGATTTGCTCCTCAAAGGACCTGGCTGCACCTGAAGATGACGCCCCTTCGGTCCCTTCAGGCGGATGTCTAGGACTCAGTCCTTTTCGGCCAATGGCCATCAAAATCCCGTCGCGGTGAACATCCCAATCTAAAATAGACTAAAATGGGTGCCCCAAAATGATACCATTGGCTTTGACCCACATCCAAATGGGTGTGGCAGTTGTCTACCTGTCCATTTACCAGGGGCCCATTTTGGACCATTTTGGACCCCTATTGTTGAGCCACAAACAACCACGTGCCAAAAATCGGGACCGTCAAGACATGGTCTTTTGTGGGGGAGCAAAGAAAGAAAACAAGCAAAACGCTCAAAATTGGCGGTGATCAGCAACAATTGGAGGTCCAAAAAGGGCGCAAAAGTGAGAGACCGTCTTTTTGGACTCTGCGCCTGGGTGCGGAAAATGCTTAAGATACTGTTGTCAAAACAGCCCCTTTTGGTTTCCCCCGACCCAGAGGGTTTTTGAACCAACTTGCCCCGGCGAACCTAGAAACTGCCGGCACGTTCACCGCCCACTTGCAAGTGCTGTAAGTGGTTGGCTTTCCGAATTTCACCCGCTCAGGAAAATAATACAAATACTGATATTTGCCCCAAGAAAAAATGCCAACCATTTCCTCTTCCACACACACACACACACACCCGAATGGCACGTCAGCCACCCACGGACGGGAAGGCCAACCTTGGGCCAAGACACGCATCACCAGCTCCACGCGGCTCAGCGCCGCGGATGGGCTCCGGCGCTTCCGCATCTTCGTGGGCAGCCCCCTGATCCGTCGTTCGGTCAAAAGGCCAAGGGCAGGTCTGGGTTTTGGAGGATGCTGATACCTCCATACGCTTTTTTGTACCCCGAAAATGGTGGTAGCCTCCATACACCCATACATGAAAATGCATTTGAAAAGGGGTTCAAAAACCAAGTCCTACCAGAAACGGTGAGTTCTTAGAGCGAGAACCATTCCAAGAACAGCTCAAGCTGAAGCTTGGAACAACCCCCATCTAATTAATTCAAAGTGGGTCCACCTATTCAAACTCTCTGCATGTTATGAGTGCTGATATGTCCCTGCGAATCTACCAAAGCGACTCAAAGGAGATCTTCAAGCAACTCAAGGACTCTTGGAAGCTTTCAGTAAAACCGGCAAATAAAACTTGGGCGCTCTTGACTGTGACTGACGGAGCCGGCCAAGCGGCATGTCGTGTGCGTGCACTTCGCCGATGGTGGGAATGCAAGGCCTCAAAAAGCCCCGGTGGCAATGTCCAGCTACGAGTCCCCGTAAACCGAAAGTGGAAGAATTCTGAACGGTCGCCTTGCTCCGCTTCCGTTTCCGGCTTCCCTGCTGCGTTTTCCTTTGCCCTAAAATATCCTAAAATAAGGAAGCTGAGGCCTCCATGTTTGGCACGCCTTCCGATTCCCCCTTTGCAGCCCCTCTGGTTTTCACAAGACTTGGAGGTCCCAAATGACCGCCCCATTTTTCGGCGGAAATTCACTGAGTCACTCGGCGAGTGAAGCCACCTGGCTTCAGGCCAGCAGCAGTTACTTGCTTCTGGCTCTCACTTTCTGACACAGGCCTCTCTATTCGGATGGAACAAAATGAGTCTTCCGAGTTTAATACACCCTACAACCGGCTTGGAGGACTTACCACATATGAACTGCCTGACGACCACGACCCCAAACCACCCACCAAGCCACCAAGCCACCACCAAGCCACCACCAAGCAACCATACCCAACCAATCGCCAACGAAAACCAGCTGGCCCCTTGGCACCTGACGATCTCAGTCCCAGACTCGGAGGCCCGGGAGGCGCCTCTTCGGTGGCTCAGAAGCCGCGTCACCAGCGGTGCCAGCCGCAGCCCCGGGGAGATGCTGCCCCGTGAAGACGTGTCCGGCTCCTATCGACCGGGGTGCGACAGGCGGGGTCAGTTGGGAGGTTTGGGACGGCGAACGCACGCATGCGCACAGGCATGCACAAGACAGTCTGTCAAGATGTGCCGCTCCTTGCTTCGGTGGCATGAGGCCTCGTACGCCTCTTGCAGCTCTCGCTCGTGTGCCTTGCGAGGGAACATGGCGTCTCGGGATGGCGAGTCCCAATCTGCCTCGACCAGCTGGCTTTGCAGAGTCTCCAATTGCCCAACCAGCTCCTGAAAGGGCAGATTCTGGGCTGTCCGTTTTCAGATCCCCTAAAATGTGCTTTTAGTAGCTTAGATGGAAACCCCCACGAAATCCTAGCCTGGAAACCTAAGACGGCCGGAAACCGAAGGGTTGTGACTTGACTGGCATTGACGTTGCCTCCCAGCTCCAGGGCAACCGAACTGCAATTTGTCAGATGCATATTTTGACGCCAATGGAGACGAAAGGACACCTCATGCTGAGGCAATCTGCCCATGCACCACAACCCGCCACAACCTCCAATCCTTCAGGTGTGCTCTTGTGCTCTGTGCGGCCTCTTGGAACGCGTGTGGTACGTGGGCTTGTCGCAAAATAGGGGCAAGCCTGAAAATGAGTTAAATGGCCTTCTCTTTGGTCGGTCGAACAAAGTCCAAGGGCACCAACTCCAAAACGACCGTCAGCGGCTGGCCCTCGATCACGGAAATGACGGAACTTCATGGGAAGGCTGGACGCTCCTGAAAGCTCTTCTCGCCGCTCTCCTTCCCCCACACGTTGTGAACCTCGACGCCCTGAGTCCGCGAAACGAACAAACGAGCCGGCTTCATTCAGTAGATTGTGCGTATCGGCTTTTGAATGGGATTGAAGGAACATGTAAACCCGCAAATATTTGCGTGCGTATTTTGTTTAGGGGTACCCCCCTTTGAGCTTGGTTTAAGCGGAAATCAAGATTAACTTGACGACTACCAAGTTCGGGGTCCTGCTTTAACACGTACCCATTGGGAGAACTTGCCACAAAATGAGGCGTCCCACCTCCGGAGTCGAATCATCCAGCAGAAGAGGGGGTGGTTCCTGCGTGCCCAGAAACAACTGCTGGGACCGCTGCATTCCTGACATGCAATGGGGTCTTCAGCATGCCATTTGGAATCAAAATGAGTCAACGAATGGCTGGATCCCACCCTTATCCCACTTTCCACTCTCTTTCTGCGTTTCCCACGTCAGAATTCCCCACCCGCTGCCTTGCACTCTCCAGCTGGCAACGCCAAACTCAAATAATCGGATTCCGGCATTTCAACTCGGGTGTGTGTGTGTGTGTGTGCGCGTGTGTGCGTGTGTGCGTGTGTGGGTGTGTGCGTGTGTGCGTGTGTGCGTGTGTGCGTGTGTGCGTGTGTGCGTGTGCGCGTGTGTGCGCGTGTGCACGTGTGTGCGCGTGTGTGTGTGCGTGTGCGCGTGTGTGCGCGTGTGTGCGCGTGTGTGCGCGTGTGTGCGCGTGTGTGAGCGTGTGTGCGTGCGTGCGTGTGTGCGTGTGTGTGCGTGCGTGCGCGCGTGCGTGCGTGCGTGCGTGTGTGCGCGTGTGCGCGTGTGCGCGTGTGTGCGCGCGTGTGCGCGTGTGTGCGCGTGTGTGCGTGTGTGTGCGTGTGTGCGTGTGTGTGTGTGCGCGTGTGTG